AAACATTAAAAATGTTTTTAAATGATAATACTTTTACAGTCATCTTCAGCTGTTAATTTAATGTTGATGAAAAATTATCCCTAACTGAACATCTCTCCATTTTTCTGTTTACTCAGACCTTCATGTATTGAGTTCAAAATGATTATCTCCTGAATGCTACAGTGCATATTTTGACTGACTTTTTTTTATTCAGTTTACTATGAATATGTCTAAAAGCTTAAAATAATATCCAACACTAATTGACTTAACAAACAAAAGAAAATATTGAGAAATGCAATTCCAGATGTAAATAAGTATTTTTTAAAGTTATAGTTATCGAGCAGTGTTAAGGACACAGAAAATATTGTGCAAATACTACTCATGAAAAATGTTTAGAGTTGAAAATTATTATATTGCTTGAATTATTATTATTATTTTTTTTTTTTTTTTTTTTTTTTTTTTTTAAAAAAAAAAATTTATTAAAAGTGGTACTGACTTTCCAAAAAGGTTTTACTTTAGTGTTAATATTCTTAGTGTTTTCTGTCTCCTATCAAATTACAATTCAAGTTTAAAGCATTTGTGTTTTTAATCATTTTCTCAGTCGAATTGAATATTTTATTATATGCAGATATTAGCTTTCAAGTTAATTGACAAGTATAAAAATCATTTCAACTATAATATTTAAATAAGGCAATTTACATTTTATGAACTGTGTGAATGAAGCATATGATGTGGAATTTTACATATTCACCAATAATTAAAAATCCCTTTTTTTTTTTTTTTTTTTAATGCTCTTTCAAGTGAAGATTATTCCTGGGGTTAATTTTATTTTACATTGGTCTTAAGAAAAGTGAAAATATACATACAACATTTTTTCCAACATATTAAGGTAATAAAAACCATAATAAACCATTTCTAATTTATTCCTATCATTTAAATATGATGTAACGGTTCAATAAAGCAAATACAAGTTTCCATAAAATATATATAGCCTGTCAAAAGATTTTGTAAGTATATCGTTTTATGGTCAGTAATTAAAAACATTAATGGCTTCAAATTAAGCATTATAGTTAATTCCTTCTAATTTTGATTACATTAAGCTAGTTTAATCTAATTCTGAATATACATTTGATTTTCTTTAAAGAAAAAGGTATTACACAATTTATTGTTAAAAGATTAAAGAAAATTTTCCACTGCACTTTATACATTTTTTATACAACCTTTCATAAAGGAATCAATTTAAATAAATCTTTTTATTGTAAAATTAACTTTCTAATCATGAATCATCAAATAGATGGTAATTTAAAGAAAAAAAATAAACAGAAGACAACTGTTTGGATTATTGCTTAATAGATAAAATCCAATTAATAGTGAAGTTGGTATGATTATGGATGTAATAAAGGTTAGAAAAAGATGGCACATCCGCTACTTAAATTATAAAATTTGTTATATAATTTTATGTCTCTGAAATCAATATAATACTTTATAAAAATTAAGATAATGATAACTACATTGCTTAATACTCCTTCAAACATATAAATTTCCAAAAATGAAAACTTGTCATTTAAATTTGGAGTTGTTCTTTCTTGTTTTTTAGCTTTTAGACAATTTACATGAAAGAAAAAAAATTTTTCCTGTCTTATTTTGTGACATAACAATCCTAACCCTCTACAATCTCTTTTCTTTATCTAAATTGTGCTAACTGCTTGGAAAAGAGTGGTTTCCCATTACCTTCTCCATGATTTGGAATTCACTTGTACTTCTGCTAGACTGAATGTCATACAAGCCATAAGAAAAGATTGATTCATGCCTTTCCCAAAGATATGAATGTGAAAGTGGAGATGAGACCAGAATTTGAATTCAGCTTACTGATTACACTTTAATCATTATAATGCTTGCACAGACTATAAATTAAAAATGACAATGTTGGAAATTGTAATCTCTGAATAAGATAGTATTATCTAGTATAAACCCAGTAAAACACATTTTTAATATTTTGAAACATAATTGGTTCCTGCATCCTTTTTAAAAAGGATAATTTATACAATATAAAGTTAAGTATAATGATCAATTTTTCACATCAATATATTTTCTTTCTTCACAAAAAATGAAAAATGACTATTTTATTTCTTAAATATTTTGGAATTTTGTTTGTTTTACTTATAAATTTTAATTAAACTATTTTTTTATGAAAACCAATGATTATTTCCTTTTACTTATATAACAGGTCATTATAATAAAATTTTCATATTAAGGATAGTATGTTTGATCTTTTATCTATTATTGACTACCAAACATCAAATGAATATTAGCGTCTATATGAACTTAGAATTGTGTGTGACAAATGAAATTTTTTAAGAGGCTAAATTGAAATCAGATGTCAATGGTAACCTCATCTTCCTCTGCTCATAATACCTACTGTCTCATATAATGTCATTTAGGGATTGTTCTTAGGGATTGACATAAAAATTCCCAACACAATCATTAACTTATTTCTGAAAATATTTTGATCATTAAGTTTTCCCCAGTTTAATTTTATGTTACTAGCTTAATTAACTTAGTAATTTTCTTGATTTTATTTGATTCTTGTTTAAGAATAAAAATTGATTATTATATTTTCACAATGTGATTAAATGATGTTTTACCTATTTTTTTGCATGTCTATACTGTTGCTTTAATTCTCACAAGGACTGAATACCTCTGGTGTCAGTTTATTTATTAAGAAAATCTCATACAAAATATTACTGTTAGGAACAGAGGGGTAAAATGTCAGATTAATTGTAAAAAATTGAAATTGGGATAAATAACTTGACCAAGAAATTAATGCAAAATGCACAGTATTATACATTTTTGTAGTATATATGGCTAGTTTTGCATAAAATCTTTAAATGTGAAGAACTTTAAAAAAAAAAATGCCTTGCTAATATTTCAGGCACTATGGTTGTGTGAATTAGAACAAAATTAACAAAATGTCCCATTCTTCCTACTTTTCTTTTAATCACTGTCAGTGACATTTTAACAGTGTACTTAAAGATACATGCAAGAAAGTAAACAGATTTTTTTTTTTATTTGAAAAACTTAAATTCTGTCCACAATTGAATATTCAATTTTTTCTTTTTTTTTAAACTAACAGTAGTTAAGCAAATTGATGTTCAGTGTAAAAAAAAAAAAAGACTGAATTGTTCATTTCTCGTCAAAGCTAAATTTTGATGCTACTTAAGCTTTGTGTGGGTCTTGTATTAGCAAATTTTTGACACTGATTATGCACTCCATTTATTTTGCTATATACCCGAGCTATTTTTTTTCCATCAGTTTTTTTTTTATTTAAGTAAATAAAGTTATATATAATTTTAATTCTATATTCATTTGTTTATGTACACAAATTTTATGCATATTTATACAATGGATATAATAACTATTTATCAATTAAGTAGTCACGAGTGCTCCGATTAGCATTTAGGTTGTTAAGTACTATATTTGTGCTCTCTGAATATAGCTTTGTTGACAAACAATATATAGATCTCTATAATTACGTTTGAATTAATTAAATAGGCAATAGTTATTAACTGAGCATATGACTGTCAGCATACATCACTGTTACTACTGTTATTTATTTTACCATATAAGAATAATTATATTGTCAGTAATGTATTTACCGCTTTTTAATTATTTTTAAAGTTACATTGTTTCATTTATTTATTTTAATAAAGTTTGGTAAGTTAAAATAGGGAACGAAGGGAAACCACTCTCTGTAGCCTCGTGCGTTAATTTTAAATTTGAGGGACACAATCAGTTTGAGATTTATTCCGGCACTTTGATCTCAAATAAAAATTACGCTTAAAATATTTTTATTTTTAACGAGATTTTAATTTTACAATTTTAATTAAATACATCCAGTATACTTTTTAAGGTTAGCTATAATTAAAACAATACTGTTTTATTATGAATCTTCCAAGTTATTAATCTTGACTTTTAATTTCAAAGATTAAGTTTAAGTCAAGTTGATCATTGGTACTGAATTTGATACTATGGAGTTTTAGTAACTCATTGGGTTTTTCGTTTGTGTTAGGCTAACGAAGTTTCATAAATAATACAATTGTCCTTAAAGACCCTTGCCATAATTTTTTTTAAAAGTATGCTGTTATGTTAAAAATTTAAATGACGTCAATGAGATTTTTTTTTTTTTTTTTGTTTATAATAAAAATGAACGACGAAAAATCAATTTTATTGTCACCTCTTATTTTAAGTAGGTTAAGCAGAAGCTTCTGCTTAATTTAGCTATTTTTGCATATTAAATTATAAATACGTTATCAAAGCGATGACTTAATGCAAAAAGTAGCGATTCTAATTTTATTTCTTGTCTCACTCTCAAGACAATAGTTTTTGTTTGTTTTTTAATTTACCGATAACTGGGTTTTGGATTATTTTTTATCATTTACAGAAAATTAACATAACGAAGTCGAAAAGTAAGCTATTTTTAACAACATATTTTTTGTGAAAACAGTCTTTTGAAAAGCATAAACAAAACAATGTTTGTTTATATACCTGTAAAATTTATATCCCTACGAGTAGGTTTCATATCCCAAGCCATGTGGAACGCACGTGCAAGTTTTGAAATACTTATTTTTATTGGGAGGGAGAATATTTCGAACATATGTCTGGTAAAAGTTCTAAATTTCGTAAATGTAAAAGACCACTCCTAACAACAAACCGCGAATGCTTGAAGCTAAAACTACAATGCTTCGTATCTCGCTCACTAAGTTTCTTTTACACGCTTTCTTTCTTTTCTTTTGAACGCACCTTTTCTTTCGCCCATATTACTACTATTACCACTACAAAGTAAGTATTGAATTATGAATTTAAGTTAGGTTCCAATCTTTTCTCCACCCCCTCATCTGCCATTATTTAAAAAAAAAACTTGTCTTTATGTGTAGATTTTCCCTTTACTCATTACTTTCATTTCATTTATTCTTATAGTACATTACCAGCCTCCTCTCTTTTCTTTTCATTCCATCTTTTGCATGCTTTTATTATACTCCCTTAACAATCTCTTCTTAGTTTTTCACTTTTTCTGTCACAGCTGCTCACTCTTCCCACTCTTTACCTACTGCTGCTACTGTAACTACGTCTATCAGATTTACTCACACCACCACCACTACTGCCAGCAGCCAGCATAGCTGCCTTACATGTTAGGACCTAGCAACCATATCACGGAAGTAGCCGAAACTCAACGAAAAGTTTTATTGGTGCATCATGGGTAATATTTAGCTTATTCCAGAATCAGTGATGATGCAAATGGCGTCCTTTATTGTTTGACTGGCAAGAGTTGCAAATCTTTCTCTTGTTGGACGCTGGGTCACTCCTAGAAGCTGAACCTGACGCTTTGCAAACCCTTCTCTGAAGTAAGTAGCGTCGATTTTGCTTTCTTTGCTGCATATTTATGGCGTTATAACGGGCGATAACTAAGATTGAATTTGTATTTTCAAAATGGCGAAGTCACGCGGTTACTGCCCTTGTGCAGGGGCGACAATTTTTGTGTCAGTTTTTGCCGGCTTTGCTCAGAAAATAGCACGCTAATTTGGTCGCAAGCTGAATCCCCAAAGATGGGGCTTCATTTTGCTACATAATGAGATAGGACCCGCATCTAGCTATTACCTTTAAGCGAGTCACATTTAAAAGAATTTTTCCTCTCGTTCACTTTGTCTTACCTAGCCGGATCCTACAAATAGAATTCAGATTAAAATGGCGGCTACTAACTCTCCGTTGAATTGTCTTTCCAGATCGCAATCTGTGTACGTGTGTGCGTATATATGGAGTAGTGATTATATATACATGAGTGTGGATGTAATGAATATAAATAGTAATGTTGTATCGTTAACTACTTAGAATATCTGCAAACGACTTATTCGTTGTTTAATATCTTGTAATTAATAGCATTCGCCATTGACTTTTTTCTCTCTCCTCCCCCTCTTTCATTTCATTTTCTCTCTCTCTCTCTCTCTCTCTCATTGTGAGAGGGAAAATCACTCCATTTTGTTATATTTTCTAATTTTAAAATTAATTTTACTGATAGTAAAAATGAAATCAAATCATTTTTCCAAGTTAAAATATTAATTTGAGATTTCTATTGAACTATCACGTATGAAAGTAATTAATATTTTTCTTGTTTATCTTTATTGAAGTTTATGTCGTAACTTTCAAAGCTTGTTTCTTTTGTTTGTCAAGTAACATAATTAAGAAAAATTCCTATTTTCATAAAATAGTTGTCATCAGGGAATGGGGATGTGCTAGTTTATAGTTCTACTTGTCAGTTGGCGCTGGGAATTATCACTTGTGTGCGTGTTATTGTACCATCATTTTGTTTACTATTTATATATATATATATATATATATATATATATATATATATATATATATATATATATGTGTGTGTTGTATAAGTAATCCCAGTAAAAATTTTACAGATCAATTTTATTTGTTAGTAACTTTGCAATAATAGAGATTTAATTTAAAAATGTTTTAATATTAAGACTTAAGAGGCTATTGTTCTAGTTTTCGTTTCTTCTATATTTTGTCGATAAAACTACTACACTGGACTCCTAGTACTTGAAATAATTTTTCATCTGAAGTTTCTTGCCACCGTTTGCAGTCGGTTGTATTTCCATTAGTAAATTAAATTACTAATTGTCTGATATATGCCGCTCGAGTCACTTGGTGTTACTGTTAATCCTCATTCTTTATGCTTGCTTGGTATAAGTACACGCTTTTTTTTCCTCTCAATGAATTTATAACATTGTGACCCGTTTTCTCCTTTTCACCTCACAATAGAAAAACACGCTCTCGGTTGGTCTCTTTCTGATTGCCTTTCTTTGTATACTTTTGCCAAGTCCAATCGTTTACGGAAGTCGTCATAAGAAGTATATCCTGTCGAAATCACAGTATCTGTACCTCTTCCCGCCAAAGTACTGGCAGTCCCACCTACCTTCCTTTTTGGCAATTGATAATTTATTTCAATCGCACAAGACAAAAGTTTTACATTTTTAGTTATTTTGGCACATTTTTTTAATAAACATCTACTCATATTCTTAGCGTTGATTACAGTATTTTTTTTTTTTTTTTTAAATCTATAGACCGATATGAAGTTGCGACATGATGCTGATAGCATGTTCGTATTTAAAAGTGTAGTAGCAGTAAAACTATATCGTTATATACATGACATGATTTGTTACTACTTTCACTTGGTTATTTAACCCTACAAGTGTATATTTACTTAAAAAACGTTTGGTTACCTTATTGTTGGTATAAAAAAAAATTTAAAAAAATAAAGTATATTTTTCATGTCTTACTTAATTTATTGAACTGGTTAGTAACAATTTTTTGGTAAATTATCTATCTACTACGTATCAATTTTTTTCTTCAAAGATTGTGTGGGTGGGGGAACTTACTGCTATGCATTTTACATAAATAAATGTGAACTGTTGACCTTTTCAAATATGTTCTTTTTATACCGATTCAAGGTCAAACTTATTGTTTCATGTACAAATTGTATACTGTTTTAAAAAGTGTTATTAAATAATTTAAAGGTATTTCCTTAACAAAAGAATATTTTTTGTAACTTATTTTGTTCTGCATATTTGTGGATCAAATTTCTTTCTTGGAAAATTTGAAAAAAAAAAAAAATTAATTTCTTTTTTGTTTCTCTCTAAGAAAAATGCAAGTTATTTGCTTGAAGATGACTTATGGTCTGATTCTTGTGTTTCCTTTGACGAGAATCGAGCAAACAAGAGTTACTCTAATAGGGGACGTAACTAATTCATTTTAACAATCTTTTTCCTAAATAATGTAACGCATTTAAAAGCTTTTAAATTTAAAAAAAAAAACAATTTTTCATTAAGTGACATTAGTGAAATAATTTATTTCTGTAATTTGTGAACTATATTTAACTAAATATGGTTACTATATATACTGCTTTATGACTTTTTTTATTTTAGTATTTTCCCCCACGTGCTACTCTCCTGACCAAAACATAAGTAATATAGATTTCATTTATTGTAGCATAACATTTTTTTACGTTAATTACCAAGGGATCTTATATTCTCTAATACTGATTTAAAATTAAACAAAAAACACCATTATTTCAAAAAAGAAACTTTAAAATTTTTATTTTGAATTTCAAAAGGTTGCGTAAAAAATTTTAGTAAATAATTTTTTTAATGTTACTTTTTTTTTAAGCTTATAAAATACTTCAAATTTCTATTCAAACCAGAAGTTGATGGCTGAAAAACCTTTTTTAATCACTCTTAAAGAAAATTAAATTTATATGAAACTCATTTAAAATTTTAAGTATTTTTTTCTTTTTATGTTATTCGCATCATTTACTAAAAAACGTATTGCTTTAAATCTTTAAAAAAAATAAAACTTAAAAAAAGAATTATAGCGCCACTTCTAAGGTTTATTTTCAGAAAGTTTTGAAAATTTGATATTTTCGTTTTTATGATTTTTTTTCTTAATGTTATAAATAGATAATCTACTTTTCTTAGTGTTTATCACCAAACCGTGTTGCATTTTTTGTTAGAATTATTTTCTAGCATTTCTCTTTAGTTTGGCGTCTCAAAAATATAAGAAATAAATGCATATTGATTAATAATTTATTAAAGTTGGAACAATGACTTGATCAAACTTAAAATACAAATTTAAATTTCTTTGAATTCAAATTTTTTTGGTAATTCTGATCGGCTAATGGTTCCCACTTCTTTTTTCCCTAATTTTAACTAATCTCTAATTTATTTAAAAATGTTTTTTTAAAATAGTACCCCACAGATTCGCGATACTTAAGGTTTTAAAAAATGAAAACTTCCTCGAAGCTTTTGTTTTAGTTTTAATTTCAAGCTAATAGATTTAAATTTAATATTTCCAATAAGCAAAATACTTTCTATTTAAAAATTAATTTAAATTGATTTTATTAATTTTCGTTTTGAATTTTTTAAAATTTAGCCTTCCGTCATGTAAATTCTCTTTATTAAAAAAAATTCTTTTTAAATAAAATATGCCGTTTTGAAACTGAGGAATTTTAGCTCATTTAATGTAATAACTGATTATATAATTTAAAACATTTATTTACTTTAAGTTTGAAATATCGCAGAAATGCTTCTTTTTTTTTTTTTTTTTTTTTTTTTTAATACAGTGGTAGCTGTTTAAGCTGTTGACATTTGACAGCTTGGTGACAGATGGATGTTTATTGTTTATGTAATGTTTTCTTTTAGCCATAAAAAAGTAATTGAAGAACGCAATGCAAGGACTTTTATATATAATTTTGAAGTACCTTAAAATTTATAAAAATATTCTCCATAGTGTTTTATTGCATTTTAGATAATTTGGCTTTAAATTTACTATAGTTATCCTTATTTTCCGTTAATGTTGTTTATGACCGCAATATCTATAAAAAAAAAAAAAAAAAATCGGCATGTTTATACGCATACAAAAACAATTCAAAGTTTTTTTTTAAAAATACTGGGATACCTGAAATTGTAATAAGCTTTTTGATTTATGATTAATAAAGTTTTACTTAACAATGTTCTCAAAACCATTACACACCATTGAAACTGCATTTTAAGATTTAAAATCTTCATAAATCATTCTAATTATAAAAAAAAAATAAAGCTATTTAAAAACATGAAAACAAATCTTATAAAAATTCATTATTTAGCAAAAAAAAAAATCGTATGGCTGCAGTGTCTTTCATAAAAGCGATTCGGTCTTTCTAATTGAGCAATTTTTTTATTGCATTTCTTATTTTATAATTCAGAGCAGATTTTTGGTAAAATGGAGTCCAATTTTACAAAAAAATATTTAAATTCTCCAGGGAGTTCTATTTTTAAGTAATATTGTCCCTAAAAATTATCTTGTTGAATTTTTCAAAAAATTAAGTGGGGTGTAATTTCTTTCATTTGTAAATAAGTTCTGAAAGTTTCATTAAAAATCTGACAATTATTTTATTTTCGCAAGAATGTAAAAATTTGCTATGCTAATTTATAGCCCATCTACTGATGCAAGAAAAAACAATTTTTTAAGCAAAATTTTGAATTTTTTAAAAAGGATTAAAAAAAAAATATAACTAAATATGGTGTTGGCCTTTCCTCTTAATAATAACAGGATTTGACAATAAAATATAGTTTACTTCATCCTAGTATTCTCTTTTACAGCTATTTTGTGGATGTACCTATATTAAACTATTTTAAATCATCCTGATTTGTTTTTGAACTTTAGAGTAACTTTAACATGAGTGGTTATCTATCTTTTGTTGCCTATAAATTGTAATTTGGATTGTAAATGAATTTCCTCTGAATCATTTAGTGTGCAGTATGTTTTACAAACTTGTATTTTTAATTTTTTTTTTTTTTTTTCTCTTTAACAGGAAATAAATTCTCAACCATTTTGGATTGCATATTTTTTACCATTGTCATGTTGGCACTGCTGTTTAAGAATGTCTTAGATTAATGGGAATACACAGAAAATTGAGTTGACTGCTGTTTTAAGTTGAAAATTATTTTATGAACTGACTATATTGCCACAACAATCTTTAAAACTAATAATGGAAGTGTCAAAAAGCAGTCTTTCTCAACCACTTAACCCAACAAGTATACAAACTCAAGATGGTAGTATATCAATACCCACATCTCATGTTATTGAGACGTTACCTTCAGAAGCACATGTAGTGACAAGTGTTGATATAATTCCAGGGACTCATTTAACAACTGTACCCGAGTCTTTAGTTACATCCACTGGTGTTCAACAAACTGAAACCGTTTTTGTTTCTTCAGAACTATTTACACCATTACCTCAAGTTCAACCTACTACATCAGAAACCATGGAAACAGAAGTCAGTAATACTACAGTGGTTGATGGTGTTACTTATGCACTTATTAAAGATAATTCTTTGGATAGTACACTAACAGCTCAAGGTACTTGTGTTACTGCATCCAAATCTTTGCTAACCAGTCAGACTGGTAGCATGGATGTAGAACTGATTCCTGTTGTGGATAATGTAGCACTACAGGTGATGGCAGTTGAAGCAAAATCTAATGAAAGGGATAAAGATAAAAAGGAAAATATAGTTGAAACATCTGGAAAGCCTCAGCTTGTTCAGCATGCCGTTCTTGTCCCTGATCCTAACAATCAGGTACCTGCAACATTAATGCCCACTGGAGAAAAGGCTTCTATGTCTAATAAGCCACCAGAATTTGTGACAACTTCTGGCAATATTAATTTGTCAATGAATAGTACATATGCAACTGCTGATGATAAGTCGGCTGTTTGTGCCCCTGTTGATTGTGTTAGCATACAAATTGGGGACAAAACATATAGTTCTAAAATTGAAAATAAAACACCTGTGATTGAAGAAGCACTAATGAAAGAAACCTATATTCAACTGGGTCACAATGTATTAAAAGAAGGTGATAATGTTGACATTGAGAAGGCAACTCTGCAAACTTCAACTGAAGGTACTCAATTTTTCGTCATTGATCTAAGTGAAACGGAAGTACAAAACTCAATCCCAATGGAGATAGAAACTGAACAAATTATCAAAGCAGAAAGTATTGGGGAATGTAAGAGTGATAATGACCCAGAAAATGATGCAATAAACAAAGTGCCTCCAGAATCACCTCCTTATTATGTAATTCAGCAAGTTACAGAAAGTGCTGCTACTGATGACAATCAAGAAAAAGAGTTTCTTCAAATGAAACAGTTGCCTGTGGATTTGAAAAGTCTTGTGCCTCTTGCTTCTCAAATAAAAAGTGAAGATGGTACAGCCATTGTTTCTCTGCCAAAGGATCAACAAAATATAGATAAATCTATAGACTCTGTGGTAAAGAATACAGATGATGAACTTCTCATCACAAACATTCAAGGAGGTGCTGAGGTCATAATGGTGGACATTGGTAGTACAGCATCTGTAGACACTGAAACAATCAAGTCATCTCTCAGTTCAACTGAGCAATCAACAACAACGCTTGTCTCTGTTGCTGATAAACATAAAGAAACAGGACAACAAACTGAAAATTCTACGGGTCCTACAGCAGCACTAATGAGCATCACAACTAGCCCTGATGTAGCAACTACTGCTACAACTTCATCCTCTGTTGCTGTAAATTTACAAAATGCTTCCAAGTTCAGAGATGCTGAACAGCAAACTGAAAAAAAAAAATCAGAGCAGCAACAAGCAGAAGTAACTGTTACCACAACCCCATCACAACAACTTCCAATTTCTCAAGCTATCGCTCAACCTAAACAAATAGAGCCTCAACAACAACCACAGGTGAAACCACTTCCAGCACAATCTAAACCATCTCAACCCCAAGATCAAGAGGATAGAGTGTTAGAATCCGAACAGCCACAAGAAAATGACCAATCATCCCAATCTATTAAACAAGTAGATATATCTTCTAAATCTTCCATAAAATCACCTTCTCCTCAAGCTCAAACCCAGCAATCTTCATCCTCTAAACAGTTCAAGCCTTCTCAGTTACAAAAAGACCAGGCTAAAACTGTTATGCTTACTAGTACAACTACTGCTGCTGAAACTACAATAACTACTTCTTTTATCACCTCCAAAATAAATGCACCAACTATACAAGATAAAGAGTCAGCTGTAGTGAGTGAGTCAGAACCCTCTAAAAATTCAACAGAAGTGGTTGACCAGGAATCTGCTGATCAGTCTGAATCAAAAAATCTGAAAGAGCAACAAGTAGTAATCACTCTTAAAAGGAGAGGTCGGCCACCAAAATCAGCTTCCAAAAATGTAGAGAATCAAATTGAAACTCCAAAGTCTGGAGGACGTTCCTTACGGGTTCGCAGTAAAGAAACAAGTGGGGATGAATCGGAGTCCACTGCCAACAAGGATTCAAAACTCTCTAAAAAGAGAGTGTCTATCAAAGATGCAGATATATCTGAAGAAAATATTGATAGTGCTAATGAATCAAAAACTGAAAGTGTTAAACGGAAACGAGGCAGACCGAGAAAAGATGAATCTTCTAAGAAAGCTGAAAAAACAGAAACTCCAACTCCTAAAAGAGGCAGACCAAGAAAAGATTCTTCCATTGAAAAAGTCAGTGAAGTTGATTCTCCTGAGACAAAGTCTCGACGACACAAAGCATCTAATGAAGATGATGACGATGATGATGATGAAGGAAGGCGTCGATCTGGAAGAATTAAAAAGGGACAAGAAGATAAAACACTTAAAAAGAACACTCCTGAAACACCCACAAAGAAAAAAGATAAGGTATCTTCTAAAAGTAAAGATCAGGAATCTCCTACATTATCAAAAAAAACAGATGAAACTCCTCCAAGACGTGGCAGACCCCCACGAAATAAAGAAACCCCAAAACTGCAAAAGAAGGATTCTGATAATGAAGTATCTGAAAAATCCGCTCGTAAAGGAAAACAAGCAGTTGAAAAGGAGGGTGAACCAGTGGCAAGTACATCTGGTATTAAGTATGTAAAAAAGGGAAAAGCCTCCTCAGAAGATGAAGAAGAGGTGTTATCTGAGGAAAGTGATGAAGGTGGACCTGAGTTGACCAGAGTTGATGTTAGTCAAAAACTGTCTATGTCACCATCTAAAAAGAAAATTAGATATGCTGAAGATACCGCAGTTGCAGTAGGTACTAGTACCATTTATGATGAGAGTGAGGAAGAAGGACTGGGAGAGCAACAGGCAGCTAGTGAAAGTGAAGAAGAAGAAGACAGTGACGAATATGGAGGAGCAGTTATTGCATCTCCAAGAAAGAAAACTATGTCATATACACATCTTAAAACTTCAATGCAAGATTTGAAACAAGAACCACTAGAAATGGAAGTTGATGAAATGGAAAGTTATATTGAAGATAAAAATGATAATTGTATTGGTGATCGTGAAGATAGAAAAATATTTGAGCTTGAAGAAGATTCTCTTTCCCAGATAATCTATGGAGAAGATGGGGCAGAAATTACACCAATTAGAGTACACAGACGACGAATGGGTGATAAGCAAGATGATATTTATAATATTGACCAGATTGATGAAGATGAGTTTCTTGCTGCCAGAAATGCTGCCCAGCAAGACAAATCTCCTAGAACGCCACAAACTCCTCAGTTTGTTGAAGTAGAAACAGTTTTTGAGTCACCTGGCAGGAGATCTGTGCAAACTCAGACAGACCCACGGCTTAGAAAAAAGAAATTTGGACCACTTGGTCAGGAAGGTGAAATTGAAGAAATAGACCCAGATGATGCAGAGTTGTATAGAAGACGTCGCTGCAAAAAGGAAGACTCTGATTTTGGCCTTTTTGAAGATGAGCCAAAAAGAAAAAGTGTTAAACGTAATACAGAAGAGGCTTTGAAATGTCCTTTCTGTGACAAGTCTTTCATTGGTCTTGTTAAACACATAAAAAGCAAACATAGTCATGAGCCTGATTATGATGAAGAGATGCGTAATGCTAAATGGAGAGAACGCATCATGAAAGTCTCTACACAGGGAGGGGAAGAGGCAGGAGAAACTTGTGTTGAATGTGGCAAAGTGACCAAGAATATGAAACGTCACCAAGAACTCCACCAACAAAATAGAATGCAAAGTGCCTGCCCAATTTGTGGAAAGGTGGTCTTGAGAACTGGAATTAGTTCACATATGCGCACTGTTCATTCAGGAAGAAAGCCTTATAAATGCCCTCATTGTGATTATTCATCAGCATTCCGTGGAAATCTTAACACTCACATTAAAGGCATGCATTTGCACACCCGCCAATATCTGTGTGATGTATGCAAAGCTGCATTTAAAACTTTAGGAGCACTTATTGGACACACTAAGCGTGTACATGAAGGATGGAAATCTCCTAACCAAAAGATTTTCATCTGCTCTGTGTGTGAAAAAAGGTTTACCAAGAAGTACCATGTTGATAGACATATGCTCATTCATACCGGAGAGAAACCTCATAAGTGTACTGACTGTGGGCGTTGCTTTAATAACAAGTCTAACCTTATGTCCCACATTCAACTGGTGCATAAAAAGCTATCACCTTACCAATGTGATATGTGCCAGGAAACATTCAAGAGGAAGAAACTGTTACTTGAACACATTGGAAAAGTTCATGTTGCTGCTGGGGAAATGGCCCCTCTTATTAAAGATGAAGATGATGATGACGATGATGATGAATTTGAAGAAATTGATGAAGATATGGAAGAAGAACTGCACAAGGGTACTGTTGCCACTGAATTGGTTGAATCACCTGCTGTATATGCCACAGTAACAGATGGCTCTGTTGCAGAAGGAACCTATACAGCAGTTGTAACTGATGGAACTCATGACCTTACAAATCAGACCATCACTACACTGCAAACAGAAGGTGGACAGGAGACCATTATTATTGTACACACTGCCAATCCAGAAGAAGTTGCCCATGCAATTGTTGAACAAGGAGATGGCACGGTGCAATATGAAACCACAGGACAGACCATCACTGGAACAACTGCAGCTGAATTGTTTTCACAGATGCAGTCATAAATTGGTAAGAAACTTGTATACTTATAATAGATGATCATTTGCTTTTATCCTCATTTTCAAAGTATTCTTTTATAATTTCAAAACTTCTGTGTTTGAAAGTGTGCGTGTGTGTGCTTATATTTTTATATTAAAATTAATTTTGATAAAAATAAATTTTGCATTAAAGTTGTCTAATTGTTATATAATACCCTATAGTAGCAAATTCAGGATGTTTCTTAATTTTCTTTTCTTTCTCTCTTTCAGATTTGAAAGAAACAGCTGGTTCTATTGTTACTAATACTATAAGAGCAATGGCACTGCTACAGCACCAGACAATATAATTCCATAGTTAATTAGTTTGGGGTGAAAAAGTTTAATGGATGGACAATTTACTTATTTTTTATTTCAAATTTTTAAACATTTTTTTTTTTATTCTAATTTATTTTAATTTTGTTATTATATGAATTTTTATTTTATTTATTTTATGTAAACATTTAAAAAAATATTTTTGTGGTGCCAGCAGCAGAATTCAAGCCGAAAAACGTTTTGTATTTCATGTCTTATCAATTTTGGCTGAATTTTTGCAAGGGGGTATGGTTAGCTATTACAGATACCTTTTTTCTTTTTTAATCTTTCTAGCAGCTACTCTTATAGAGCAATGGATTTTTTTTTTTTTTTTTTTTTTTAGAAAGAATTGCAATGGTGTACTGATAAAATGAGTTACTGGTTTTAGTATACCTTTTATAATTAATCTACTAATGGATTTCTTTTTCTTCTGGAGATGTCACCATTTAAGTATAATGGATGTTGAATACATTAATGTTGCTAATGCACATATATAAATATACTGTTTGTGTGTTTTTATATATATATATATATATAATGCACACACACACGCATTAATATGCATGTGTCAAATATAGGATTTACTTACTAGGATAAGTTAAGCAGATATGTTTCATCTATATAATTTATTTATGCAATATACTTGAAGAATGGTATTTTAATTCATCCCTTGTAAGTGCAGCAAAGGTACCATAAGGATGCATGTTTGTCAGATTTTTATAATTTCTATTGCAAATGCAGTTTGCTATAATTTTTAAAATCTTCATAGACTTTCTTGTATCAGAATAATGTACATTTTATTCATATATATATTTTATATATATATATATATATATATATATATATATATATATATATATATATATATAATGCCACCACCACCACTCCTTTCTTTCTCATGAAAAAACACAACTGTATTAAACTATGTAGGACATTTCCCTATCAAATGAAAAATCAATTAGTGAGTAGGCATTATTTTACTTTTTGCATTCATACACACACACTATATATATATATATATATATAGTTTGTTCCTGCTTGTATAGACCTGGTAAAAATGGGTATTTTCTTGGCATTTAATATTTTAAATTTATGCTAAAACAAAACTTTTAATAACTGGTTTTGTTCCAGTCATATAAGATACTTTAAAACCAAATGCATATGTTGGTACATTATCATTTTCATGAATTCACTTTTATGTGGAGTTGGAAGGGGTTTGGTATTAATCCAACTAATAAAGCTGATGTGTGTTACTCAAAATTTCAAGTCCTGTAATATTTCTGGATATATTTTATGGCAGCAGTGAATAAATTTAACTAACATTTGAACTAATAAAATTTTGTTCTTATATTTGCTGTATTTTTCTTCCCTACCCAAATCTACTTTTCTTTTTGCAAAATTTACTTTTCCAATTAATCACTAAAATTGAAAAAAAAAGAGCATTTTTTTTATTGATAGTGTTGATATTGTTTATTTGCTGTTTATTTTCCCCCCTCATCTTAAACATGTCATAACCAATTTTTTCCTCTTTAAAATGTGTACAGATTAAAACTATTGCATACTAAAGTATTTTTAAAGTGCCTTAATGTAAATTTTGTCCACTTATGTGCTCTAAGTTTTTATTAAAAGCAGCACAGTTTACATTTTATTGATTCAAAATAAAGGTATAAGTTTACAAAGTAACATTTTTAGATTTTGAGAACAAAATAGTATATTTTGTTTACAAATATTGATTGTAGAGTTTCTTAATTTGGTAACCAAAGAAAAATCGAATTTATATTCGTATAATTTTTATTTATTTGTGTGTGTGGTTGTGAAAAATAAATCATGTATTTTCTTGTTAAACTCTCTCACTTGAAGTCTCTGAGTAAGATATAAGTTGCATTATGGTTTAATTCTGAATAACCGTTTAAAAATTTAATGAATACTGTAATCTTAGAATTTGTATAAAAAAAAAATATTACTTTCTCAAATATACTCACAAGTATTAATAATTTGCCTCACTCCCTCTCCTCTTTCTCTCTCAGGGCATGTTACTGAGCTTTGATAAAACAAGACAGGTTTTCAGGACTCATGCTTATTTCATATTAGCTATTGTCACAAAAATGGTTTACTTTTTCCAGGAAAGTTCAAATGTGATTTATTTTTATTTTATTTTTTTTTTCTTTAACCTTGCCATGTTTGTGTAGATGAAAAAGATTTTTTGATAGGAAAAGAAGCCAGCCTTGTCATGAAAATTTATTAATCAAATATTATCATAAGCTGGCAGAGAAAGGATTAATGAAAGTGAAGAAACATGTTCTTTGGTAGTGATTCTGAGGAATAGTCAAAAGCATGTACTGCTATGAGAAAATGCTTATAATTTTACCAGGTCCTTTATTTATATATATATATATATATATATATAAATATATATATATATATATATATATATATATATATATATATATATATATATCATTTTCTTGAGGAATGTCACTGGCACAACCAACCATTATACTGAAAGTAAGTTGCAGTATTCTTAAGAAATTTAAACTGAGGATTTTTTTGTGCAGACTATTGTTCCAAGCAGAAAATTGAAGATACACCCTTAAACCCTATTATTCTCCATGCCTTTCCTTCATATCCACCAAATATAACAGACTCTTTAAATGTAAATACCTAATCTTAATGAATAATAAATTGAAATTCTTGCATTCAATTTTAATTTCTTTTTACTACCACTTTGAAAGTGTATAAATGGAAAAGTTGTACTTGTTTACTGTACTATCAACATAGTTCTACTACCACTCATCTTTCTAGCTCCTTTTTGCATCAGCATTTTTTTTTTTTTTTTTTTTTTTAGATTTGAAGATGTTCACTAAAGTGATTTCCACCATTCAACATGTAAAAAAAAAATATAAAAAAAATTGTCTGATCAGTAACAAGTGACTCATTCAAATTCCCAGTGCTCATGATTCTTCCCTTTTTATAGATTTTAGTTATGTAGTCAACTTGTCTTTATGGCACATTTTATTTCAATTAGTATTTTTTTAAGTCCTTCACTATTCTTGTAATAAAAAAATAAAAAATTAAAAAAAATATATAAAATGGAGTTACTTATACAGTTTGTTACCTCCATCACTTTAAATAAAGCTCTTGGTAATTTGATTTTTTTTTTTTTTTTGTCTTATATAAGGTACTTAATAAAGCATAAAGATATATCAAAGACTTAGATGAATTTATGAATTTTCCAGCCAATTCTACTCCAGTAAGAATTTAATTCTTGTATAAGTATTTTAAGACACTTTTTGTATCTTTATATCACTTCAAGTTTAATGTATTTAGAAAAAAAATTGTTCTATCTATATAAGTTCATAAGATTTATTAAATTTCTTTCATCTTGACTGTTTTTGTGGCAGATTTTAAGATGAAAAACAGATTTATTCTACAGAGTTTATTGCCAATTTTAAATAGCAGACTGCCACCATTTTTCTCCCCTAATGTTCGCTGTGTACAAGAACTACTAGAGGTGGAGGATTACAGAGTACGAGGCATGATTTGTGAGGAAAATAAGTTTACCCTAGACGAACATGTTAAGAGTGTAGTGATTGGAAAAGAATCCTCTTGGAAGTTCAGTTCCACAAAGCAACAGTTCATAGGAAGAAGCTACTCAAGTGAAATTTACATTTCACTAATGAAATACAATTGGAATTTGTGGTTTGCTACACGGTGTGGCATGGCTGTCATGGTTAAAATTATCTTTACCTACTGAATTTACCATATAAGCTGAGTTGGCCTAAAATCAATGCATTGTATTAGAAATCAATAGTTAAGAAATTTGATAGTTGTATTGTAAGCATTTTATTAGAAGTGTTATGTGGCTCAATACTATTTTGTGCTGAAGGTCTAAAAGGATAAAACTTATTTTAAAGAAATGTTAGCTTAAGAATTTCTTAAATTATATATATATATATATATATATATATATATATAATTGAAGTTTATTCCAATTTAAGTGCAATATTCATGATTGTGAAAAAAAAAAAATTAATATCTACTTTTCCCTAACAATTCAAAGAACCAGTTTTAAATTCAGATCTAATTCAGTGGTTGCTTTAATATTAATGAGAAAGGATAAGCGAACTTTTTCCAGTCTAATCAAAATGATCACTAAATTAAACAAATGAGAATTGTTGAAGAAATCTATTGTAATATTGTCATATCTGTTATAGGGAAACATATTGTAGGAAAGATAAGTATGAAGGGTAAATAGTAGTGCACACAGGTATTTACTAAATTAAAGCCATGATAACATACTGTAATGTAATCACAGTAGATAAATCCAGTAAGGATTAAAAAAATAAAACACTACAGTAATTGCTAACTACCAAAATATGATTTGCTTTTTCTTTTTATTGTGTATTAGTTGCTAGTAGTTTGCAATTATTACCTTTTTCTTTAGTCTATAGACTTTGGGAAAGATAATAATGATTTTTTTAAAAATGTAAATTTTAATGAAAATTGTGCAGAGGTTCAAACCTACAGGTGTGTGTGTGTATATATATATATATATATATATATATATATATATATATATATATATGAAATGTTCCTTCATTTTTGAAAGGGAGATAGTGGCATTTTATTTCAAACTTTAGTTGAAGACAAGTGTATAATTCTTCTAAGGTTTAGAAATTGTAAAAGTAGAGCTGCAATATTTGAATTAGCAAATGTTTTCATTTCTGGAACTTGTACCTTGCTGTGGAGCACATGCTCTCTGTATTAACTTTTACTGATTATAATCACTGTAGTGAGTTAAGTGCCTCACTACTATGGTTTTGTGACTAAAGTGAGCTTATCAAGTCAGTATTCAAGCCAAAGTATATACACAATTAAAAGAAAAACTAATTTTCATGTTAGGTAAATTCCTTCTCGCACACAAA